AAATAATTTAGTTTTGTGAACTTAAATTTTGAACAGGAATTTATCGAGTAATTCAGCTAAGAAGGAATTAGGATCGGCACTACTGTCTCTTTTGGGAGACTTAAAAGTTAGATATGTGAATTTGAAAGAAAAAATACACAAGGGCATACCACTGGAAGAGCTGCCCCCACTGTCAGTAGAATCAAAATTGTTATCTACCTTCTCTACTTTTGCTTCCAGGGTATGTATGTATGTTTTAGGAATAAAAATTTTACTTCATTTAGACAGAAAACATTTTAAACAGAGATTTTTCTTTTCTGTCTTTACAGCTGATGAAAGAAGAATCACATGTGTGAGTTGATTTCATCTAATTTAGAACTCGTTAAATCTTTAAAATCACTTAATCCAGTTAACTTTAAACTTTCTGTTTTGGTACCTATTTAAAACATTGATGAATTCTTTAATAAAGTGTTTATTATCTTTTTTACTGATATGCAATACTTTTACATGTTTATAGGGTACATGTAATATTTTGTTACATGCATAGGATATGTAATAATCAGGTTCAGGGTATTTAGGATATCCATCACCTCATATATTTAATATTTATTTCTGTGTTGGGAACATTTCAAGTCCTCTATTCTAGCTATTTGAAATATAAAATACGTTGTTAACTATAGTCTGCTATCAAACATTAGATCTTATTCCTTCTGAAGTCTTTATCTTTTTAGCTTTTCAGGAGCAGATTCTGAACTAGATAATCAAAGTGCTCAGGATGTTGATGTTTCTTCCAACCTAAAAAAGACACTCTCTCAAGTAAGTATTTTAGAAAGTTCATCTGTATAAATCTTTAATTTTATGGCTTAAGTAAACTATAATTTTCAGAGACTCCAACAGCCTTCTTTTCACTCAGCTAGCTTGCTTTGTATACTGCCATTTGAGGAGATAGAACTAATTAGAAGGAACATACTGGTGTATTTAAGCCTAATCAAACAGATATCAGTAATATATGTTGAGTAGGGTAAGTATATAGTTTATCACCAAATCAGTAGACTTTTGAGGATGAAAGAGGGTAATGTTAATCATTCACCACAGCAATAGGTATAAATCTGGACGGTCCCAGGCAAATCCATGATATATAGCCACCATCATGTTGAGTGAGTTTAATTAAAACTAATATCGTGCACCTTCATCTCGTGAGGTAGAATAAAGTAATATTCCATTTATTTTAGGCAGGGCAAAGTTTTAATTTCTCTTTTGCTGAAATGATGAAAGTAGTTTTTAAATGCCTTTCATAGGTTTTCTCATTCTCTCTTGTTCCCCCAAGGGAAT